AAACAATTTTATTTTTGGATCTTAACACATTAATATATATATTTCTACACAGAGTTCGGATGATGTAGTGTGATTGAGTTCTTCGCTCTGTTAGTGTTAACGTTATTTGAAAATTTTTGAAATGCATAGACCTAAAACGTAAGCATTAAATCATGATTGAAGATAAATCAATTATAGATAAAACACAAAAGTCTATCATCGAAAAAGAAAGAGGAAAAAAACAGATTCTACTATTATTTTTAATATATACTGCAGATATTAATGGTTTCTGTGTCAACAATTTAGTTACAATCCTCGCGTTTACAAGAGTTACCTGGTTAATTACGTTTACAAAAACTTTTTTTAGAATATCAAATTCAATTTCAATTCTTTTTGTATCATAATGGGTATCAAAATAATTGAATTTTTACGATGAATCATAATTTTTGATTTGTTATATGCTTGCGTTAAATTTAATTTTTCTTTTTTTAAATAATTGATCATTAAAATCTGTCAGTGTACGTTGTGTATGTATAGTTTCCTGTTAGTTAACCGGGGACAGGGGACACCTAATTAAGGTCTATTGCCAGTTTACTGTACACGGATTATCTGTTAATCCTACCCCGTTTCTTAATGTGTATACATCTGGTCGGATGTCATGTTTAATCTGATCGGCCGTTTCTCTGAAAATCGATTTTGAAATAACAATCATTGAAGACCGACTAGATTTTAACAGATACTTACTGCTGCATTATTAAAAAAAATAATGAATTGATTAAAAGTATTCATGATGTAAAAGCCATTAAAACGTTTTTCATGGTAAAAGTCAATTTTTAAAAAAATTAAACATTTGTATACCAGTAGCCCCCCCCCCCCCCCCCCCAAAAAAGGACAAAGGTTTTTTTTGATGAGATCATATAGTTATATTCCTGTGAATTCTGTAGCGGAATGTTTCTTTTGACATATATTATAAAATGACCATTTTAATAAAGTAATATATATTCTGTGTTCGGAATATAGATAATTCTAAAAACAAACTGATTTTTGGTATTATACATTTAAGATATTTCACTAGGACTTGCCCACGGTGTGTAATTATTATTTATTTTTAAAAATCATATACACTAAAAATAAAAATAACGCATGTAATAATGGTTAATTTAAAAAATAAAAATAATCTACAGTTCTGATACATGATGTCTTGTTTTATTATCACTGTAAATGATTTTATAAAAAAAATTTAGACACCTCGAGCAAGCCCCTGTGGCTATTAGCTAACTTCGTTCCCAGTGATCAAGTTTATGCATGTTGACAATAAACTCGTAGAAATCATGATCGAGACAGAATTATGAGATGGAATGGATTTTGCGTAAATGATATTAAAATAACTAAAAGCTAGTTTAAAGATTCTATATAAGATGCGTAAAAGTTTAATGAGGGTTGACCATTAAGTCACCATTAAGCTCAGCTTAATGGTGGCTTAATGGTAGCTTAATGAAGTTTGGACATTAAGCACCTGTAAGTCTAGCTTAATGGTGACTTAATGGTGGCTTAAAGGAATTAACTCCTTTAAGCCACCATTAAGTCACCATTAAGCTACCATTAAGCGATTGCTTAAAGGTAGTCTTTCGTCTTGTGAAGATTTCAATACGAGCGTCATCTATATAAATAGTTTGTATACACAAACGGCACAGCCAAGTCGAACGCTGCGCTAGATCTTAAAACAACGTCATGAATAGAAATATCCATTTTCAGAAAATTACAAGTGTTGTTCAATTCTTGCAATGTTTTTGAATTTGTACACAGCGTTGATAAATCGTATACCAATCTCAAATCCATACGTTTCTTACGTTTCAATCGTATTAAAATATTTTTTTTTGATCGGAAGCTGTCCCGTTCAGAAGGTCGATGTCGCTTTTTCTGTCGAGTTTTGACACATTTGTTAGGGTTATTGTTAAGTATTTGCAGTGTCTATATAGTAAGCGATATACTTAAGATATTATAAAATGATTTTAGCTTGTCTATTTGTTATAAAATCATAATTTTTTATTAACTTTTGAATTTTGTATAGAAAATGATCATTCTAATCCAAATATTTTATATGAGTGTTTATGTCATTTTAACCTTTGCCCGCACGGACTATCTGTAATCTTTAAAGACACTGATTTTTACAAAAATATTACTTCCATCAATAAGAATTAAATCACTCTGACTTGTTATTTTTCATAAGAAACATTTTGATATAAAACAGTTTCATATAGAACCATTTAATTTCACGAAAACGTCATTTTCCACAAACTTTTTGGACAACCCTCGTACTTTTAAGGGGTCATTAAACAGTGAGGTGTATTTTGTTTTATGTCAACGCTATGGTGACCCAGGATTTTGAATTTTTAAGATTTCATCCCAATGACCCGGATTTTTACTTCAGTATCTTCCTACTTTTACGTCTTAGGTTTGACATGGTGCAGTAAACATAAATCGTACCAACGTTTTCTGCTCTCGCAGCGAAGGCCCGACCGATATACTTTCTTGACCGGTAAATGAGAAAAAGAGAACTTTTCCATTGGGCTTCAACTTATGACCCGAATATTTTGATAACATTTTATCAATTAGAAAAATTCTTTGTCCTTGGGCTTTCCTGTTACATTATGGCAAATATTCCGTTATGTCATCCTCAAAGCCATTATATAAAAGCCATTATATATATATATATATATATATATATATATATATATATATATATAAATATATATATATATATATATATATATATATAAAGCACAGAGAAATTCACTTTTACAAGGATACTCACTTCCGCCCCAGCCCGGGGTTGAACTCTTGACCTACGGAATCTGTCTCCTAGCAGTGCAGGAACAGCGCGTTAGACCGCTCGGCTATCTAGGCAAGTTAAAAAACTTGCTTTCGATGCCGATGGAATTCTCACAACGCTGCCCTACACTACACAGTCATTGAGAATGGAAGTGAGATACAGTTATTTGGACATTAGTTTTTAGAGGATCGTTACCAATACATGTTGTGATAAATTAATTTTATTTATAAAGCACAAATTACAACAACTCTTAAACTAATATAACTGCCCTAAGTGAAGGAATATTAATATAGAGAAATTCACTTTTACAAGGATACTCACTATATATATATATATAGAGAGAGAATTAAAAATTCAAAAAAATCACAAAATATTTTTTGCAAGCGCTTTCGCCATGTTCGGCTCTTCAGGCAGTTATAAAAATGTCAGGTAGGTTACCTGGTAACATCAAAAGCATAAAGTTCATTGTGACGTCATAATAGATTAGGTAGCGATAAGTTGGCGTAATTGTTAATGTACAAATCTTGCACTAACTTTCATACATTATACAAATGAAATTTCAAAGTATAAAATATATAGCATCACTTGCGATTAAGTTTGGGTTTAAAGAGGCTGATAAAATAGTCTTCTTTTGCCAAAAAACACAATCCAAAACAAGAAGGGAAAATCAAAATTCCTTTTTTTCACCCAACGTTTACAATCTGAAGTCATTTTGGTCTTAAAATCCTTATATGTGTCTCCACAAGTTCCCTTTTTGAAGATTTTTTTAAAAGTATTTGAGGAACGTTCCTCTTTCTAAACTTCAGATGCATTTGTTATGACCAGACTTTTGAGGAACGTTCCTCTTTCTACACTTCAGATGCATTTGCTATGACAAGAGATTTAGGGAACGTTCCTCTCTCTGAACTTCAGATGCATTTGTTATGACCAGACTTTTGAGGAACGTTCCTCTTTCTACACATTTGTTTTGACCAGAGATTTGAGGAACGTTCCTCTCTCTGAACTTCTGGTGCATTTGTTATGACCAAACTTTTGAGGAACGTTCCTCTTTCTACACTTCAGATGCATTTGTTATGACCAGACTTTTGAGGAACGTTCCTCTTTCTACACTTCAGGTGCATTTGTTATGACCAGAGATTTGAGGAACGTTCCTCTCTCTGAACTTCAGATGCATTTGTTATGACCAGACTTTTGAGGAGCGTTCCTCTTTCTACTTTTCAGATGCATTTGTTATGACCAGAGATTTGAGGAACGTTCCTCTCTCTGAACTTCTGGTGCATTTGTTATGACCAAACTTTTGAGGAACGTTTCTCTCTCGAACTTCAGATGCATTTGTTCTGACCAGAGATTTGAGGAACGTTCCTCTCTCTGTACTTCTGATGCATTTGTTATGAACAGACATTTGAGGAACGTTCCTCTCTCTTAACTAAGATGCATTTATTATCACCAGACATTTGAGTAACGTTCCTCTCTTACAGATGTGCACATACAGTGTGTATTTTTAAATACCTTATGAATTAACACATCAGGCATTTGAGGAACATTCATCTCTCAAATTTACTTACTACCGTAGGCATCTCATAAATTTTCAAATATTAGGCATTAGAGGAACGGTCCTCTTCCAATTTCAAATATTGATACTATATACACCATGTACACTGGAGGAACGTTCTTCTTCAAACTATTGACACTGGATTTACTAGTCTAAACACAACATATTTGAGGAACGTTCCTCATCCAATTTCAAATATTGATACTATATACACTGGAGGAACGTTCCTCTTTCTATCTTGACACTGTGTTTACAAGTTTTAACACACAATATCACAACATTCATCAGTCAATTTCAATGATAATACATACTACATGTATATAAACAGTACATTTGAGGAACATTCCTCTACCAATTCCTATCAAAACACTACTACCATGACTCTTAATACTATGAACGTTCCTCTCCCCATTTCAAAATTTGACACTGGACTGGACAAACATTTCTCTTCCAACTGTTGACAATGGATTCATGTCGAATACTCCTCTTCTGATTTCAAATGTTATTATATAACTTTATATATGAATCAGAGTATAATTGGATTTGAAGAAAGCTGAACACCCAGGTACTCCCTAACGTAAAAGAGTAGATAATCCTGTTGATTTCATCAAGTCAAATTTCAAGGTTGAGACTATTCTGACACAGAAAAATAATGTCTGCTTAAAATTTTGGGAACCCTTTGCTTTACAGACAACAAACTTAGTATACTGGTACTCCCAAAGGAATAAAGACCCCTACTGATTTTGGGTTACAAGGTGAAAGCACAAGATCTGTAGTCCTCCTAAGAAATATATGACAACTTTTAATTTGGGGGTCATAACTCGATTACAAGATCAAATACGTGTCATTCTTGACAATTAATATTTTAGGAAATCATTTTTCACTCAATTTTGTGAAAAGCCTCTTATTATTACAGACATTTAACTCGTTGGTACCAATCCTTTAGGAGTATACATGATCACATTTTATTTTGAGGTCACTAATCTCTGGATATCATATAGGAATATCTCATGCTGAATAAAGAGTAAATGTTTATTTTTATTTTAAATGAGAAAAAAGGGCAACTGTTTGAATCGTGCAAAAGACATAAATCTACAACAAGGAATTGATCAAAAAAGTTATACCATTCCCCTGATCCCCTGCATTTACTTTTATGATATAAAACTGTTGTATACAGCAATGCTTTCTTACCCTAAATTTAACAATTTTATTTAACAATTGAAATTTTATGATATTTATCAAATAAAAAAATCTTTCAGGAAAAGAATCTTACCCTTAGCTTTCTTAGTATAGTTCATCCAAGATTAATTTATGAAAAGTCAGTGCATTGACCAGTAAATTCTCTATAAGTTGAACATCCATTGACATTTGAAAATCATGCATGTGTCTCTACTTACTTCATCACACAGTTTTTTGACCAAAACTAATTATATATAACTTTATCACAGTATAACACACAGATATATCGATGTCTAATTTCTCCAATTTCGAATTCCCCTTCAAACAACAGTTGCATTTAAATGATAGCTGTTCACATGTGCAACTGCGACCCTTCCATACATATTTGAATGGAAACATGTGGTGCCACTAACTGAAGAAATGTCAATCAAAACACTGCACACTGATAATCTTGGGTGTGTTATCAGTCTTGGACACATCCATCTCTCAACCCTACCAAAATGTTCACGATTTCAAATCAGAAGATGATTATCACATTGAAAGATTGTTGAATAAAACAGGATGTTGCAGTTCTTCACAGTTAAGGATTTATTAAGGTATTTATGCAAATAATATTATTATCAATTTATGAAAATTCTTTGTATATAATGCTTTCTTTGCATAAAAACTAAACTAAAATATTTTATCAATAACTTAGTCAGAGTTGATCAATCCTGCTGAAATATAAGCTGTCAGACACTTCCAAATACCAGTAAATTAAAATGAGAAATTTACTTTAATTTTAGACAAAATGATATGCCCTGGATTTCAATGTAAAAGAAAACGAATACCCTCATGACACCACTTGCAGCAACATTTCAGAGAAATGATTAAAGTGTCGTAAACAAATCAAGTAAGTACCTTAGTCATAATTTTCATTATTAGTTGGGAAAATTAGAAATTCTATGATTTCCTATATATAATATATGTTTTCAAATGCTGTACATGGCAGAAAATAGATTAATTATATTGAATACAAGTAAAACATGTTTAAAAAGCAGTGCCAGGGATCGACGGTTGATTTTGCATTATTATGAGCGAAATTCGTTATGAAGATAAAAATACATAATTAAGTCACAGGGAATAAAAGCACTTCGCTGTAACTCAATTCAACATAAGTGTGTTGGCAAAAATCATGTTTTACTGTATTTTGTTAATTTTTTTTTATTATTCATCATTTACTTATCTCAATTTATTTATTTATTTTTTGGGGGGTGGGAGTGGGGATGGGTGGGGTCCATGCCCATACTATTTTTTTTGGCTTCCTAACACAGGAAACTTTGATTGAGAATTTGCTCCTTAAAAAATTACCCCCTCCCCCCCCCCCCCTTGCCACTGAACGTATCCTATATACTTTCTAAAAATATGCAAAATATACATATTTATGTAGTGTATTTAATTTGTATTACCGGGTATATTTTTAATTTGTAAACTGGCATGATTTAACATGTCCATGTATTAACTATACATTATTGATAGGAGACGTACACTCTTTTTTGAATTAAAGTTTTGGACAGACCTCAGGTATATTTTATATGCCAAGTCAGTGTCTTATTTACTTTTTTTAAATAAAACATTAATTGATTTGATAGAGAGAACAATAGCTGTGTTTCACCTAGTTCAATCCAAAAATCATCCGAGCTTGAATAGATGCTCAGCACTGTTAATTCTGATGGTTTTAGAGCAGAGCAGAACACATTCAACGAGGCTCAAACGAATAATCTAGTGTGTCAAAGAATTAATGTCTTTAGATGAAACAGAGCGGTATAGTTTGTTTATGTATAGCCAATGCTGAAATCTTTAACTCTGAGACAATTATCGCTTCGTCGGCTTCACTAAGTGGTCACTGGTCAAATGTTTATTCTTTCCCAAGATATTGTTAGCTCTTTTACTTGTGTGTATGAACAGGAGTACGTAATATATTAAAATCATGTGTTTTTCTTTTCTAGCATTATAGTGACCTTGTCTGATATCATACCCTTCTAAAAAAATTAAAAATTTTAAGTTAAAGTTAAAAGTTAAAATTTTACTATAAATTGGTTATCTTGAAATATTATGGAAAAAAAGACACAAATTCAATAAATTATTATACTCAATATTGTATCCTTTTAAACTATATGCTGCAGTTAGAATAATAAGGATAAAATTTAAAAAAAAAACTAATTATAAAAGATTTAAACACTTTTTTGAAACAATTTACCGGGAAATTTTTTTTCTATTTTTATAAAAATTCTGGGCATATTTTGTTGTGTTGTCAACTGCAAGGATTATGATCAAAGCTTAAGTACACGTACACAATTATTACAAAACCTTTATCTCAAAGGTTTTTTTGTCCTTCTATATATTATCTTTTCTAAAAAAAAAAATAAATAATTTATCACAAACTCACATTTTATGTATTGCATTAATTGTTTTAACAGATATTTAATATTAATCAAAGTGGAATGCAGTCCAAAATAGTGAATATGAAGTTTCTTTTAGTTGTCAATCATCACTATCCCACTGAAAAATATATTTTATTCTAAAAAAAATCCAAAGGGGCCATCTTATTTATATTCCTACATACACCTATTGTTAAGGATTACATGTAGTTTAATACTTTAACAATAACTTAAGTATATGCATTATCTAAGTATAAATAAGTATTTATAATTCAGATCTTAAAAATTGTATATTAGTTAAACATTTTATATGTATTATCGATCGGCAGATCATGTCTTGTGTACTCAGTGTCCGATTCCTGATAAAAGAAAAATAGTATTACTAAAAATACGAGTAACGGTTTCACTAGTTGATACTTCCATCATTTTATGCATATAGCCGTAATTTTGTTTTATTTATTTATTAGGTTAAAGCGGAGAAAAATGCACTATTCAGTTTCATAAGAAAGGTTCATTCTTATAACACATGCCTGATATGTACACCAATGAAATTCTTATTCTTAGAAACTCAGTGTTCCAGTGTTGGTGAATGTAATTTCAAAGAGTTGAAGAAAATCTTCTTAAATTATTTCTACATAATGAAAGCAGATAAGACCGGGGTTAAATAAATTGACCTCGAGTTTTACAGATAACATAGACTTTTGACCTTGCTGCAGCTGGCTAAATTATTAAATCCCAAATGACCCACACTGCAATCCAAGATATAGGAAATCTGTGAAATTCAGAGTGCATGTTTCTGAAATTAACAATTAAATAAATTGGTAACAATTGGCACTAATTTACTATTACGGGGTGACAGAGATTTGCCTGTATCAATTAATATTAATATTTTTTCTGCTGTCCATAGATTTATTACTGAAACATGTAGATTTTAAATTGATTTGTAATTTAATTGCATCACTTGAAAATATTATAATCATTATATTTTAATGTATTTTTTGCATGACATATTGTTATATTTATGGAGAGGAACTCGTAAGTTGCAAGAACTTGTTTCCAATCCATTTGACTCGTTCAATCAAATATGTTCAAAACAACAATTAAATCAGAGATAGTTTCATAATCAAAGTATCTAACTTTTAAAAAGGGGGAAGGAAGATGAGCAATTGCCAATCAATAAAAATAAAAAATTGTAGAACTGTATTACTCAGTACAAAATTTCTTTTAATACATGTGCTTATAATCTAAATCAATAAAACATTTTTTAAGGGCTTTTTTTTTGGAAATATGGATTCTTATTCCTGCTTCCTTAAGATCTGACAATTAAGTGCAGGAGATGATGTTTTCACATTATTATTATCTTTTTTTTTACAAAATAATGTTTCTTTGCATTTAATATGTAGAAACCAGATTTTAGCCTGAGATTTGTTATTCCCGAACTAGAATAATTAGTAAAGTTTTACAGCGTATATAAGTTTCATTACATTTTTTTGTTTTTTAAATATATTGAAACTATCCAAATTTTAAGGAGTAAAATTTAAAACTCTAACAAGATCTTAATTCTCTCACTGTTTGAGTTCTGTTCTACAATGTAAATTGCTTCAATCTTCTGACTGCAGAGACATGTTTATCTATAACACGATCAAGTCATCATAGCATCAGCACTGATCTTTACTGTCCATGAAGTCACAGGGGACAGATAGTTGCCAGAGCTGATCGCCTATAGCTAGTTTTCCATGAGCATATATGATTGGCAGTGATTAATAACAATTACAATGTGAGCTGGGGCCAGAAAGACATCAAGTCTTTATCTTTAAAGTAGAGAATGATGCAGGAATTAGGGTAACTAGACAAATCCCTATTATAGAATCAATTCTTCAGTTTTAAGAAATACACAATAGTACTGCAATATAATACAAATTGAGATTCAGAATGAAAATAGGTTCGTGTAAATTAAAGAATACATTAACAAAACCCATGAAATATTATATGAGACCTGCATGCACTATATGGAAAAAGAGAAATAAATTTAAAAAATTGATGACTTATATTATCATACATGTATATTAAATGTTCATTGGAGGAGTATGGAGCTTAAGACCTACCGGTATATATTATTATAATTTACATTTCCAATTGTCACTTAGTTTTTAAATTAGTGTTACATGCAAGATATAAAGGAGAATGATTTTTCTCAGACATAATTTGCAAATCAGAGTTATTACTGTAAACGTGTAACATTTGGCGATGTATTCTTTTTACCTTTTTGGCGGAAAGAAACATCCGCTAATTTAAGTACAACACTAAATGACTTAAACATAAAACATTAAAATGCGCTAAATCATACACTACTGAATTAAATATCCCCTTAGATTTCAAAAAATCCCCTGTTGTCCCCCTGTCAGTCCCTGACATTTTCCTGTCTCTCCCTGACTTTCTCCTATGATCCCCTGTCGTTGTCCCTGCTCTCCCTGTCCAGTCCCTGTCGTCCCCTGTCGTTGTCCCTGCCTTCCCTGTCTACTCCCTGTCGTCCCCTGACATTCTCTGATCTCCCTGTCCAGTCCCTGTCGTCCCCTGTCGTTGTCCCTGCCTTCCCTGTCTACTCCCTGTCGTCCCCTGACATTTATTTTGGCCAAGAAAAGGAGTTCAAAAAATATTTTTGTTGCATTTAAGAGTGAAAAATGATATAGTCTTGAAACTTTGAGTTTTTTTTTTTGAAAATATAGACTTATTAAAAAGTTAACACATTTTTAAATGCCTTAATAAATTCCCTGTAATTTAGTTTCTATTACTTGTATCAATGTGATTTTTTTTAGTTTGGTAGCATTTCGGGGGAGAAGGGCAGAGAATTGCATCATTCTTAAGAAGAAATAAATTAGCAATTTATTTCATCTTGTAATGCTAGACGGCATATACAGTGTGCTTTATGAACCTTTTATATATATATTTATAAACTTTTTCATTTTTTATTTGATCTACTTTGAAACATCTTTGAGCGTAATAACTGTCTTTGTAAAAAAAAACTAGATTTAAACATTTGAGAATACATTATTAAATCCATGCATAGGATATATTGTTTTTCCAAAGAATGAAATGAATAAAAAAATTAATTGAAAGGAATGATATATAAATGCATTAATAAAATAAATGCCTAATTATAAATAACAATTATTAAACAAACTATAAATCTATTTTATTCTTTTATATTCTTATGTGAATAAATCTACAAATCAACTGAGTTAAGAATGAATGAATAAATAAATAAATAAATAAATAATGAGAATTATATAAATTTATTCATTTCTTTGTTTATTTTTTAATTTATCGCACATTTATATCCCCAAAATGTGTTTTATTAGTTTTATTTTTTTTATTTACCTTATTTATATTTGAAACTGAAAATACAACAAATTAGTCAATCAATTATATCCGCAAGAAATTGTGGCGTTTTTAGAGGTTTTTGTTTTTTTTTTTTTTTTCGTTTTTTTTTTTGTTTCTTTGTTTTTTTTTTGGGGGGGGGATTTATTTTACATAAACTGTTGCATACTTTGATGTGCTACAAAGTATTTTATTAGTATATTAAATCGACTCTTTATTACTTTAAGTCCATGATGGATATCAAAATAATCGTCTCATTATGCACAATATTAATCCGTCAATAATATTTTTGATACTTTGTTTTGATTGAAAAAATCGGTTTTCAAAACCCTAACACAGTTCTGAAACAACATCAAAGTCATTGATGTTTACCAGTAATTAACTCGGGGTACACAGTCATGACACCTATTGTCTTTCTCACTGACCGCTATACCTTGTTTATGTTGTGTTCAGGGTGACTGTTTACAGTTTGCAACTGTTTAAAATAACATTTTCTCTTAGTATGAGAACTTAATTTTTTTTTTCAATCAAAACAAAATAAAAGTATTAAAGAAGCTATTGACGGGTAAAGATTGTGCATAATGAGACAATTATTTTGATGTCCATCATGGAAGTAAAATAACTAAAAGCAGTTTTAATATGCTTCAAAAATACTTTGATATATATTCATTGTTAATCAGTTTACATAGAATATGCGAAACAAATCCCATTTTCGGGTATATGATTATTCAGTTTGCTTGTATCGTCAATTTTAAAAAAAACATTGTTTTTATAATGATTAAATACATGCAGTTAATAAGTTTATTTTTTTTTTATTTACTAACTATTTAAAATCAATTAATGATTTGGTTTTAAACACTAAAACATTCCAAAATGCACCAATACCCCCTGCTGACTTTGTTTCTTACAAATGGTACAAAGTCAAACCAGTATTCAATGAATAAAACAGATTACAGCGAAATAAATACATAGTAAATAAATAAAATTTAAAAAAAATAGTGAAATAAATATAAATAAAAACAATTTATCTATTTATATCTGAAATTGAAAATACAACAAATTAGTCAATCATTTATATCCGCAAGAAATTGTATTTGTTTAGAGTTTTATTTTATTCATGTTTTATTCATTTAATAATGGAGTGACTTTCTACCTTTTGTAAAAATAAAAAAAAAAGAAAAAAGACAGCAGGGGTACTGGCACACTTTGGAATATTTTAGTTTTTTTTTAAATCAACACAATAATTGATTGGTAAATAAAAAAAACTTATTAACTGCATGTATTTAATCATTATAAAAACATTGTTTTTTTAAATTGACGATACAAGCAAACAAAATAATCATATACCCGAAAATGGGATTTGTTTTGCATATTCTATGTAAACTGATTACATGTAACAATGAATATGTATCAAAGTAATTTTGAAGCATATTTAAACTACTTTTAATTATTTTACTTCCATGATGGATATCAAAATAATCGTCTCATTATGCACAATCTTTACCCGTCAATAGTTTCTTTGATACTTTTATTTTGTTTTGATTGAAAAAATCAGTTCTCATACAAAGAGAAAATATTATTCCAAACAGCTGCAAACTATACACGGTCGTCCTGCCAAAACATAAACAAGGGATAGCGGTCAGTGAAAAAGATAATAGGTGTCATGACTGTGTACCCCGAGTTAATTACTGGTAAACATCAATGGCTTTGATGTTGTTTAGAAATTTGTTAGGGTTTTGAAAACCGATTTTTTTAATCAAAACAAAGTATCAAAAATCTAATTGACGGATTAATATTGTGCATAATGAGACGATTATTTTGATATCCATCATGTATTTAAAATAATAAAAAGTCGTTTTAATACGCTAATAAAATACTTTGTAGATCATCTGCGGATGCAAGTGTTTATATAAAATAAAACTAAAGAAACACAATTTCTTGCAGATATAAATAATTCATTAATTTGTTTTATTTTCAATTTCAAAAGGAAATAGATTAATAATTTATTAATATTTTTTTCATTATTCATTTACTTTAATTCATTTATTTACTATGAATTTATTTCGTTTTAATCTGTTTTATTCGTTAAGTATTGGTTTGACTTTGTAAAATTTTTTTCAAAAAAAGAAATAATATAAAAAAAAAATAAAAGAAAGAAAAAAAAAGAGAGAGACAACAGGGGTATTTGTGCATTTTAGAATAATTATTTTTTTTAAAAATCAATATAAATAATTCATTAATTTGTTTTATTTTCAATTTCAAAAGGAAATAGATTAATAATTTATTAATATTTTTTTCATTATTCATTTACTTTAATTCATTTATTTACTATGAATTTATTTCGTTTTAATCTGTTTTATTCGTTAAGTATTGGTTTGACTTTGTAAAATTTTTTTCAAAAAAAGAAATAATATAAAAAAAAAATAAAAGAAAGAAAAAAAGAGAGAGACAACAGGGGTATTTGTGCATTTTAGAATAATTATTTTTTTTAAAAATCAATACAATAATTGAATTTAAATAGTTAGTAAACAAAAAAGAAAATAAACATATTAACTGCATGTATTTAATTATGATAAAATAATCTTTTTTTATTTTTAAAATTGACAATACAAACAAACTAAATGATCAAATACCCGAAAATGGTTTTTTTTGGGGCTTATTTTATGTAAAACTATTTACGCAAAAATGTGTGTCAAAGTATTCTTGAAGCATATTAAATCTGCTTTTAATTATTTTACTACCATGATGGATATCAAAATAATTGTCTCATTACGCACAATCTTTACCCGTCAATAGTTTCTTTGATACTTTTATTTTGTTTTGATTGAAAAAATCAGTTCTCATACAAAGAGAAAATGTTATTTCAAACAGCTGCAAACTACACACGGTCGTCCTGCCACAATATAAACAAGGTATAACGGTCAGTGAAAAGATAATAGGTGTCATGACTGTGTACCCCGAGTTAATTACTGGTAAACATCAATGGCTTTGATGTTGTTTAGAAATGTGTTAGGGTTTGAAAACCGACTTTTTTTAATCAAAACAAAGTATCAAAAATCTAATTGACGGATTAATATTGTGCATAATGAGACGATTATTTTGATATCCATCATGTATTTAAAATAAGAAAAGGTCGTTTTAATACGCTAATAAAATACTTTGTAGATCATCTACGGATGCAAGTGTTTATATAAAATAAAACTAAAGATACACAATTTCTTGCAGATATAAGTAATTCATTAATTTGTTTTATTTTCAATTTCAAAAATAAATAGATTAATATTTTATTAATATTTTTTTATTATTATTCATTTACTTTATTTTATTTATTTACTATGAATTTATTTCGTTTTAATCTGTTTTATTCGTTAAGTATTGGTTTGACTTTGTACCATTTGTTCAAAAAAGGAAATAATATAAAAAAAAAAATAAAAGAAAGAAAAAAGAGAGACAGCAGAAAGTATTTGTGCATTTTAGAATAATTATTTTTTTAAAATCAATACAATATTTGAATTTAAATAGTTAGTGAACAAAAAAGAAAAAACATATTAACTGCATGTATTTAATTATGGTAAAACA